CAATAACAAAGTAACATCAAAACAACAAAAACTAAAATTCATCTTTCATATTTTTGTAAAAAGACAAATTACTTTATAAAATATAAAATTAAACTTTTTTATTACCAAAATTCAAGTCATATTTTCACTCTTTTGTAACACAATGCTGACATTAACCACATAAACAGAAATTTTTATTTAGGTCATGAATGTGTTTTCTCTCTTTTTTGTTGTGTTTGTATATTTGCAGGTACTTGTTGATGTTTTCCTTTCAAACCTCTTTTAGGCAGGTGTTTTCAAARGTGGAGCCAGATCAGGGGCGGAGCTAGACTTCTTTGCAAAAGGGGCTGGCCAAGGTATTATCTAGGGGGGCACATATAAATAAAGAAAACTATATTGGATTTAAAAATTTTGAAAATCTAAATTTAAATGGCTATAATTCAGCCATTTTRTGTCTAATTGAGATAATTTTTTTACTCTGATGTAGCCAAGAGTGATTGCTAATCCCAGATTAAAATAGCCACTAATTCTAATTTTATAACGATTATAATTCAGCCATTAAATATACAGCTGAAAATGTTTATAGTAGCCACGAATACGTTTTAACAAAATCTGAATGTAAATACAATTTAAGATGGCCACCACATTTCAAATAGTTGGACCTCTGAAATTTGGGAAGGTGGTAGCCGAGAGCAATCCCCATGTCATTTTTAAATCTCAATTTTAACCTTTTAGAGATATTAAGCTGACAATTAGTGTGATGGTAGCTGACAGTGATTCCTAACAAATTTAAAATCATATAAAAGACTCTTAAATTGTCCACTAAAGCTAAATTCAAATGGCTAAAATTCTGCTATTGTTCTATACATATTGAGMTGAAATTTGGTGTGGTGAAATTAATGCTTTTACATTAATTCAGTGGTTTAGAAAAGTTATATTTTTCTTCATGCACTGATAAGTTCCCTCTACAGAAAATACAGCTCCATAACATATATTTACTTTGTTTTATCTCTAACCAACCATCTTTTATTGTCAAATGTGATCCCCACCCACACTTGTCAATCATTTGGGGGGTGGCACCTCCTGGGCCAAATGGGGTCAACTAATAATTTAAAGGTGGGTCACCAAAACCAAAAAGCCATAACAGCAGTTCAGGAGTTTTATTCTTCTTGTGACTTCTCTCTAGTTTATTGCAGGTCAGTTCAGACCTAATACGTGTTCTCCTCATGTTTGCATGGCTTTCTTCAGATAGACTGCTCCATCTTCCTCCCACAGACCAAAATCAAGTACGTTAGGGTGCCTCCAGGCCCAGACCTCTCTTGCAAATCTCAATGAGATTAAATAAATGTTACAAATAAAAAAAATGGTGAAGGGGATTATAAAAAGGTGGTAAGGACCTCCATTGCGTACCCACCCTGGTGGTGCCCCTGAACTTGGTTTGTTTTGACATTTTCAAATGACTACCCTATCAATGTCAACTTTATTTATAAAGCACTTAAAAAACAGCAATCAACTGCACTAATGTGCTGTACATCGTTCATAAAACAACTGATAAAAACAACTTGAAGTAAARCAATAAAGTAAACAGACAAGACACAGATTATAATGTACAGTAAAGTCGTATAAAAATGCCAGAGAATAAAAATGAGTTTTCAGAAGAGATTTGAAGTGTTCCAGACTATGGGCAGATCTGTATAAAATACTCTGGTAATTTTATAATGACCTGGTAGCAGCATAAGATTTTTTAATTGTTTTTTATACCGCCAATGTTTTTGTAGCTCTAATTCAACAAATTAGTCATTAGATTGTAACCCAGTAGTTTCCAATGTGTATTTATTTCTTCATACAGGTTTTATTTTGCAATAAAACAATCGGCAACTAGTAATGCAATGATTAAATAAWTATTTGGATTGACATTTTACAACAAAATTGTCTCTGCTGCACACACCTGCTTTAAATGAACGGGTGATTAATYGTCTTCTTCAGAACKTGAAGAGGWAATTCAGTCACTGAATCAGGTGTGTTGGAGCAGAGAAATAAGTAAAACATACAAAATAGCTCCTCAAGGACCACAATTGCCCCGTCCTGATGTAGGATCATACATATGAAAACAGAGAGGGGGACAGAAGTGACAATCAGGTGGAGCATCTGTCCATCTCCTCAAGGGCCGAGCATACTCAGTGCATAAAATAAATATTAAAAGCTTGATTAAAAAATATTAAAGCAAGAATGCCTGGTTTTGAAACGGAACAAATACACACAATTAGGCAACTATAAGGATAAGGCTTCTCATAAAGACACTAAATGTGAAGGTGTTTATCAACACAAAGTAATCATATTTGCCAAATTAGGTTAAAATATGATGCTACAGATGAAAATAAGGCCGARCTTTCCATCATGAGTGAAGTGATACTTCAAGTGTAAAGTTCAATTTGAAATCCGAACTTTTGTTTCGCCATGTCTCAATTGCAAAAATTAAATATAATGTAAATGGCATTTGTTGTGTCAGACTTTCAGTAAAAAAAATTAAGTAAATAAATACAACTTCTAACTCAAAATGCTTGTTTGTGTGTGGCTCAGTTAAATGTGCTGTATTGTAAATTCACACTTTTTTAATGCACAACTCCATATTGAATATAGAAACGGACTGTGTGAGGATGCTTTGAGGCTGTAGACAAAGGTTGAGGTAAAAGCGGTCCAGGGAGGGCTTTGACTGGCCCTCCTGCCAAAGGTCTGTATTGGAAATTGCTTCCACAGGGACAGAGTGACGGTGAGTTTCCAGGTGAAAAAGCAACCGCTCTGCTGGGAAGAGATGCAGCCGAGGCTGAAGGAGAAACAAGGATCAATGAAAACTTCCCATGGGCTGATTTTTTTTTCTGGCACAGCTGTATAACTGCGCTTTCACAAAGTAATTTCTCTAAAACACCTTACAGAAAAGGAATCCTGTCTATTTTACAGTTTCAACAGCTTTTTATAGCAAGAACATTTCTTATTTTATTAGATAGTCAGAAAGTTGTGCACTATGGATCACTCATGTAACTCCAACTTACTTATTTTTCTTGTTGCCACAGTCCCCCACAGTACTAAACACAAACAAAGGCTGAAGACAGATATTTATGAGCAATGAATAAAAATAGACGAACTGGGGAGCACAAAAACCTCAACAGTAACATCATTTAAAGGAGGGCCTGGTGGGTGCTGGGTGGGGTAAAATTGACTTTTTTGAGATATCCCATTCCATTATGTTCCCGGGGCAAGATCTTCACCCACCTTGCTGGCTGGTGATGGTCAGAGGGCCCGGTGGCACCGGTGAATATCAGCCTCTCTGGCAGCGGTGGCTACAGTGTAGCTTAACTCCATCGATATGTGAATGTGTGTATGAATGGGTGAATGCCTGTAATGTGAAGCACTTTGGAGTCCGTAGGGACTTGATAATGTGCAATATAAGTTCAGACCTTTTACCTGTCATGCAGGTAAATGGTCTGACTGGTCTGTGGTAGCCACGTGGAGCTGCCTAAACGCGTGCTGGTACAAAGCATCACCTATTTACCCAAAGCTCCTCCCTGGAGCTAAGTCCATCACAGAGCATCCCTTCCCCATGCCTCCGCCAGACTGGTGGCAGGAGAAATATTCCTTTACAGATCCCCATGATTTCATTGAGAAACATAGCTACACAATGATCTATGTTTAAAGTTTCTTTGCAAAAAATAGCATAACATTGCCATATATGACTAAGAGAATGATTGGAAGATGTATTACCAAGCTGACAAGTCTTGTAAGAGACTCTACTCACTCCGATTCTTTAGAAAATGTGCTTTATGGGTCTGACATGAGGTAATTTGAGTAAGGTTCAATTGTATCTGGAGTTGCCATTTCCCAAACCGATATTATAAAATGTTGCTTCTTTTTCTTACAATGAAATGCAACACTCCTACAAAAGGCTGTAAACGGCATGAAACGTTGTTACCATGCAATGGTAGGAGGTTTTTAAAGTGACAGAGGTCAATTTCAAAGAGTTTAGCTAGACTATGATGCAAAGTCAAATGTATTTTTAATACATATGGCATTTTCATAACAACTGAACGTAACATTGTTACTTGATTGCAGTATAGTATTGAACTACGTGTCTGGAAAATACATAGACCCCCCCCCCCCTTAAAATACAGAGAACTAAAAAAGGGAATGTAACTGAGCGGTGAAAGGAGAGAGGATTTAATCTTAGACTTTTCTTTAAAAAGGCAGCTGCACTCTCTAAACAGTCTGTTCAAGGTGAAACTGTTTAATTCATGTTGTGGTTTTATAGGAAAAAAGAAAATATGTAAAAAAGATCTTGCTTACATGCCTCTGACATGGCTGATGTGGTCATGAATAAGCTAGCTTTACTCACGGTCCGTAGGTTTTGTTGGATTACATTTAGTTTTTCAATGTCCTGTTGTTGTTTTTCTGTATTGCTGTTGCTGCTTTCATTGCCTGCAGCCAAAGTCAAAAGTTTGATAATGATTTCACCCTCGTTGCCTTTTGTGTGTGTCCATTTGTGTGTGTGTGTGTGTGTGTGTGTGTGTGTGTGTGTGTGTATGCGTGTGTGTGTGTGTGTGTGCTTGTGTTGGTTTCCCTGTCATGAACAAAATATCTTGCGAACCACTGAATAGATTTGAATGAAACTTGCAAAAAGTAATATTTGGCTATACATCTAGATCTGTTAAATTTTTGGAAGTCAAACCAAACCAAGATGGCCGCCACTGCTAGATGATTTTAGTTAACAAAATTATAGCTATAACTCAGTTAATTTGACTCAACTCTGAGTTGACTGACTGAGTTGAAAACCAGCTTTGATCAGTCCAGTATTTATTGTTAACATATTTAGGACAAATCTCCTAAAGATATCTGGGCATGTTGAACTTTGCTTCCTATAATCTCTGATTATCAATCCTCTTTTTCCTCCCTCAGTGTGTGATAACAATTAATTACACTGTTCACTGCCTGATTGTTCTCATTGTCTACACCAGGGGTGGGCAATCCTGGTTCTCGGGGACCACTATCCGGCAGTCTTTAGAGGTTTCTCTGCACCAACACATCTGATTTGAATGAATGAGCGATTACCAAGGAGCAAGTAAAATGTGCCTGACCGTGGCCCTCGGCAACCAGGATTTCCCACCCTTGTTCTACAACGTTGTCTCATTTGTGTTTTATATCATCTTCATGTTATGACTATCAGCTCAGAAATTTAGAAGTAATATGTTGGGAGTTATTGCTTTTACATTCCTCTTTGTTTTCTTTCATAAAGTCCTTTAATTTCTCATCCATCTGCCTCCTGCTTGTGCGCTTGTCTGCACACAGGTCCTCCATCATCATAATTTATGACACCCTCCTGTGAAGAATGGTGGTCAACACCCAACTGAAAGMAGAACTGAAGCAGAACTGAACAGAGGGGATGTTATAAAGCTTCAGCCTTGTCTCACACAGATGAAGGAGGTGAACTCTAAAACATAATGTTGCACAACACATTGTAAAAACTACAGTTTGTTAAAATGATAATCAACTAAACTCAGGCTGAGGTTCAAATGTTGATATGTTTGGAAAGATTAAAAGAAGGTAAATGCCCTCTGCTTCTGAGTAACAACCAGGAATACAACTCAAATGTATTATTAGTCTTTGTGAGAATGTCAGGATTTTTTTTCTTTTTTTTTTTACTATTTTTAAGAATACAATAAGGATAATTAAACAAAAAGGCAACAATACAGAACAAAATAAAACACATACCCAGAAAAGAAAAGAAAAGAAAAAAAAAAACACACACCAAAATGGTCTTAATACTGATCGCAGGTGGCCTAAGTACTGCAAAGAGGTCTCTAATTCAATGCCACAGGCATCACACAGACCATTGTCATGAAGTTCCATCACCATTTTGTGGCGGTTGAGCAGATTGTGCCCAGTTAGGACTCCAACCAGTATACTTAGAATTCTCCTTGACTGGGAGATGAGAGCTTTCCCAAACCTTAGATTTGGGCCGTTAATCAGTTCCCGTGCCTGCCTACAGTCCGTCAGCTCCCTCCAGCGGATTGAGTGTTGATGTCTAATCCAGGCCTGTAGGGCAGTCCTAAAGACTGTTGTTGAGATACCTACAACAGGCTCTGGTCCTTTGAAGTGAGCCTGACTGCCAGCTTTTGCAAGGTAGTCAGCTAACTTGTTACCATAAATGCCAGCATGTCCTGGTACCCATTCAGCAGTAACACTGTTATCTCTCCCCAGTTGGTTGACTGCTTCGGCACACTCCCAAGCCAGTAATTACATAAAGTGTGGCCCTTGGAGAGCTTTAATTGCAGCTTGGCCATCTGTTAGGATGAATATTTCCTTCTGTGTACACTGAAGGTCTTTGAGAGATGCCACACACTGGTGGATTGCATATATCTCAGCTTGAGATACAGTTGCAAAACAACCTAGTGGGTATTTATGCTCTCTCTCTCTCACTGGTTGTGCAAAACCAGCACTCCTGCACCTACTGACCCCTTCAGAAGGMATCCATCTGTAAAACAGTAGAAATGATTGGGAGACATGTCCGTCGTAGAGAGGTTAATCCAGACAGACCTGTCTTYTATCTCTGTCTTAAAACTTGGCTCAAAATTATATGTTTGACCATTCTGTCTCCAGGTCCTGCAGTTACTGGAACAGCAGCAACTGCCCAGTCCCAGATTCTAGTGCGTTGTGAGTCAGATAGGTTTTTCCACCTACCAGACTGRCGTAGCCTTACTGCACTGGATGCAGCCTCCCCTAAAATATGTAAATCTAGTGGAGCCAGGTCCAGTAGGACTTCTATGGCTGCCGTGGGTGTTGTTCTGATGGAACCTGTGATGCTCGGGCAGGCCATTCGTTGCACATGGGTGAGCATCACTCTTGCCACCCCAACTTGGACTCGAACCCACCACACTAAAGCAGCATAGCATAGCATGGGGCAGACTATGGCCATGTAGATCTATCTGATAACCTTTGGAATAGCACCACAACGACTACCTGCAATTCTACGGCACTGGTGTAGGCACATTGCTGCCTTCTTACACTTTTCATTTACGTCTTTTCCAGTTAAGCTTCCTGTCTAGATAGACACCCAAGAATTTAACTGACTCTGACAGGGAGAGTTCTACACCCTCCAATTTTGGAGAWGAGTAACACTTCCTTGACTTCTTATGAGTGAAAAAACCAATTCTGTCTAATTTGGATTGACAGAAAGTTCCTGCTTGCGGCACCATCTGGATATTATGTTTAGTCCCCTCTGCATTAGGTTACATACAGTACCCAGGCAGAACCCTTCTATAAGTATGACCAATTCATCTGCATACCCTTGTGTATGGAGTCCAGATCTGTTCAACTCATTTAKTAAACTGTTGACAACCAGGAACAAACGCAGGGGTGAGATTACTCCTCCCTGTGGACAGCCCCGTCTGAGGTTTACGGTTATCGAACAGTCCCCCAGAGTTGAAGACGCTTTCCTTGTCCGAAGCATGAAAATGAGCCAAGTGGCTGTGACCTATGTAGTGCGCCAACTCGACCGTGAAGGAATTTAGGCTAAGGAGCTAAGTGGAAACTGCGTGCACTGTAAACAACCATCCCCTACTGGGAAGAGAGAAGTATYGAGTCGAACGAGATGGTAGTAAATGAGTGCTGCAGGCTTTGAGAGACAAATTTAATTTAACATGGAAGCCTTGTCAATACTGACTGAATGGCTACAATCATTTCCTCTGCTGCCATTGCTAAACTACAGGCAGACAGAAACGGCACAGAAAATCAGTCATTGTTCACAACTCCTCCTTCTGTTCGCTGAGTGGCCCGGTTGAAATTCTACCAGAGAAATTTATGTCAATGGGAGAAATCCCAGATGGCGAAACAAAGGGAAGTTAGAATAGGTTTAGAATAGAATAGGTTAGGTATCTTTATATTCTTTTTGGGTCATATTTTTCAACCTGTTCAATTTTTTTCTATTTTCTATGTTGTTTTCTAAACTATTAAATCAAAGTTTTTGTAACAGAAAGATATAAGTAGTTAGAAGTGATTTTTCATTCTGAAATACACAAATGGTCTAAAAGCCTTTTGTTTTAGAAGAGTGYACCAACCACCCTGTTAGAAGTCAGTTGTATGTGATGAGTCTACTATTGAAAATATCTTAGATTAATTGTAGAAAATTGATAAACTTGAACCCTGAGAATTTCAAAACTCTAGAAAACTCACCACCAAAAACAGTTTAGATATTTTATAATTCCAGCAAATTAACTGCACCTTGACTGGTTACTGTAAAATATCCTGTTAAAGCAATAAATTGCCCCAAAAAGATAAAATTGTGACAGTAAAAAGCACAACTACAGTTATCTGACGTGTGATATCTGTAAAGTGATGTTAAACATGTCAGACTATTTATTTTGTCCTGAAATGGTTGAAAACTGTAAAAATACATTTTAAAGAATCAGGACACCTCTGAGCAGAACCAGAATATGCCAAAGGGATTATAAATCCAATCTGGTGTCAGAGTGCCTCAGGATTCACCAGGAGGAAACCCAGATAAGGGGCCCAGTGTCGCCCGCATAAATGAGTGGAATAATTCATTATTGATGGAGGGTCTGCACAGGGTCCTGCAGGGGTCTGAAAACTAAGTTCCYGCCGTTCCATGTGGGCTTGATCAGTGGCAACAGGAGAAACATGAAAAATCAATGCAGCAATAACAGCCAGTCCTCRTTTTTTTAACCAATCAATAAAAGTCGGACACAAGTTTCCTTTCCACAGTTTATGAAGCGACTCGTCCCCCTTACTAAAGAGGAAACGTGATCTGTCCATAAGCTCTTTTTATCACAGAATGAGCTCTGGCTTCACTGCTGTCCCAATTTGAGAAAATCCTCATTTAATCTATTTACTGTAATTTTTTAAGCTCAACTTGATCGAGGGGGTTTCTGCAGCATTAAATATCTGTTCTGGGGCAAAGAGAGGAGCAGTCATTTCCATTTCAATTTAAAGCTTTAAAGTTTGGATGTGAAAACTCAGTTTTTACTCTCCTCACTGTAAATGTACACATCATACTGTGCAGAGAGTTACTGCACACTGCTTATTGTCAGCTTTTCATTTCTCCCGAGTCTCACTCCAAAAGCTGGGCTAATAGACAAAAAAAAAAGGAAGAAAATACTGCACACATCTGAGCCGTGCGAATAAATAAAGAAATGGGCACAGCTGCATGCTGATTTGTTTTCCTGGATGGCTGAACAGTTTTAGTGCTGAGCTGGCACCACAAAGGTTTTAACATTCATAATCACACACACTCTTTTCCGTCACACAAACACAACAAAGAGAGAATACAGTATATATGGTCTTTTGGGGGGCCTTTAAAAAGCATGCTRTAAAACAATAGCTATATGTTTTAGTGTATATTTAAAATGTATTTTTTAAGCTTCTTTCATAGTGGAAGATAATTTTGTAAAGCATAGATGGTCTTAGTGGCRTTTCAGTGGTGTATTAATGAATGCAGTGGGCTCAGTGGTGCAGAATGGTTYATGGGTCATAAACACAAACATTCTGCACAGCCTGCAAGGATTTTATTTTCCCCCTATTTTTTCTATTTTTGTTTGCAAGCTGAGAGTGTCCAGGTCAAACACAGGTGGGACCTGTTAGAGCTGATTAACACCAGGGTTCATACGGTGAAGTAGAGACAGTGTTCGGCAGCGGTCCGTTGTGGTTTTCACACCTGATGGTCTGGTAGACTTTGTTTAACTGGGGACCAACACTGCAACATTTTCATCTTCACACTGCATTGAGTTAAATAAACAAAACCCCTTGAGCAACCTGTTCACCCCCTCACCTGTGGTGGTGCTGCACCAAAAACTACTGAAGTAAGCAACATGAAAACCTCAGAATAAATGAGCACAACTTCCTTCYTCACTAAATGTAAACAAACATGGAGTGATGTCAGATGTGCCAAACAAGCACTCTTTAAAAAAATGGCATTTGTTTTGGTTGTGTTTACCCTGAATGCCCCGCATTGTAGTCCGCTTCCTGCTTTAGGAGCGGTCTACGGTCTGCTTGGCAATCACGTATGAATTCAAACTACACCAGAGTTCAATAAACTGAGATGAGACCTAGGTTTGTAGGTGGCTTGTTTTGGTCCACATCMTAACTCAATTACAGTTTCACTCCTCCCCAAACAGACCGGACTTTCTAAGCAAACAAACTAGAGTTTGATTAAACAGGGCTGGTGTGAATTCACCCTTACACCCACTCAGTGACATTTCCACTCAGTGTGTAGAAAGAGTTATTTGATTGTAGGAAAAAGAAAGTAACAATAACCAGCATCTTTTCTCAGATCTAATTGTGTTCAACCCAGTTGCATCTTGCTGGTCCTCCACTTCAGCTGTTTGTCTGATCCTGCCCCAGTTTCTGTCTGCTTGTCAGGACTTGGAACCACTCCTGGAAGTCAACCTGGAAAGTCATCCCTGCTTAGTCACACTAGACTCTCCAGTCTTGCCTGTTCTTACCTGGTCGGTGGGATCTGTGACTCCTCCTCAAAACCTGCAGATGGAAAATCATTGTAAGACTCATTCTTTAATCAGCAAACTAATTCCTGTACACGTTGGCCCAGACTGTCTGCTCTTTATCTGTTCACAGAGACATCTGTATTCTATCCCCAATTCCRGTAAACAAACCATTTTTTGCCCTTTATTCCTGTGCCAAGATTGTGTTCTTGATTCTGGCTACCTTGTATCGGCTAGCATTATGACACAGCCACAAGTGCCAACCCACCGTCTCAATTCAACAAAGTGAAAAACAAACAAACAAAACAAAAAATATAAAAAAGAGGTGTTTATTTTATGACTGAAGAGAAGCTGCAGAAAATGGTAACATTAGAACACCACTGATACTGAACCCTTTTTGAATTTCCATCCATTTTCTGTACCTTCCTCTCCATTCTGGGTCACGGGGCAGCTGGTCTTCTCCAGCAGTAGTCGTGCGAGAGATGGGTCCAACCTGGACTTGGCTCACTTTCATCATAGGGACACAAATTTACAGTTATCAATAAACCTAACATAAGTTTGTGGTCTGTGAGAGGTCACTGGAAGAACTAGGGAAACCCACATATGCACAGAGAGAACACGTAAACTCCACCCATCAGACTGGAGGTGATTCAGTGACCTTCTCACTGAGAGGTGACCACAGTTACCGCTGCACCACCGTGATTCCTGAAAGATTGAATATAGGTAAAACAAACCAGCAAACAAAAAACTATGGTGTTGTCAGACTTGGACTTTTAGATTAACAAAAACATTTTATTTCCAGTTTGCCTATGACTACTGTATTGAGTGATGCACAAAATCACACAGTGTTTCACTAAGATATGTTTATTTTAAAAAAGGCCAGATTAAAGTCCAGACCAAATGTAAAAGCAAGGTTTTAGAGAAAATAATTATTCTGCGTAGCCCCATGGATGAAACTTACCTTCCTGCTGTTCTGGCTCTCATTAAAAAGCTGCACCAGATCAAACGTATCGGTCAACAAAACTAATTCACCCACATTATTCATCAGATCTCAGCTAATCTTTAATTCTAGGAAACCTTCAATTGGAAAAAAAGTGACTTAATATTTTATTGCAAATTAAAAATAAATCTAAATGAAACAAACAAAAACAGTCAAATTATTAAAACAATAAAAATCTAATTTAYCCTGAACATTTTGAAATAGGATTCTGAATTTTGGGACCAAATAATTACTCTAAATTAGCCATTTTGATTTAAATAATTCAATTTATTTAACRATGATTAGGTGAAGAAAACATGATGAAGCAAGAAACCTCTTTGTAATTCCAAATTTATCTATCTTTCAACAGGATGTTTTGACTTTTGAGATTAGGATTTATTGTTAGAAATTAGGATTTGGACACTTTTCACCATTTTGACAATTATTTTGTTTTGAAATTTAGTTAATAAAAGTATTAACAATTGTGACAGATTATCAGATTATTTTGACGAGTCAAACTAGAAGCTTCATAACCAGACCCAAACAGTTTTCTCTAACAGTCTTTACTGGATTAAAAAGCTGGTGGCTGATTATTGACTCCGTCTGGGTTCCTGCAGATGGTTGATCCAAACCTTCCCGAACCTCTGAAGGAGGATGATGGAGGTCCGAATCTCACCAGAAAACATTTTCATTCAAGGTAACCTGAGATGTGGTGATGTCTCTGAGGAGGTCGGCATCCATCAGCTGGAGCCGATCGAGCAACAAGCAAGCTGGGGCAATTTGTCAGCTGCTTTTATCTCTTAAAGGTACAGGAGTTATTCTTCAGCAAGTTTCTGTTTTCTGTTTCTTTAACTTTCCTACAAAYGCCAAGTAAGTTTCCAAAAGCATCAGCCGACGAAGAAGAATGGGGGAAATACGAGACAAACAGAGCTGCCGATCGCCCACCAAGGTTTTCTCTTCAATTTGTTATCAGAGTTTGATAAGATGGATTGTTGATGCTGCTGCAACCTCAGTGCAGACGGACCATTTCACCTTGTTCAAACTTCTGTAATGTGGCAGCGCTGCCTCCTGTGAGACAAAAATATATACTTTGATTTTCTTATTGAATAGATGCAGACATAAAAATCATCAACTTTAAATTGTAATTGGAATGTAAACCATCTGTTACTTTATTACCATTTTTATGTGTGTATAATGTGAAAAATCAAACCACAAAAATCATCCATAAAGCTGGGGCGATGTATTATACACAGGAGTAAATTTTGAAAACTTTTCTTCTAATGTACCATGATAAATTCTAATATTTTCTTGTATAAAACTGGAAAATTGTGTACCTGTAGATAAATCATCATCATTTCTGTCTGTCTTCCTGTTGTTGAATACGTCGTTAATAGCTCAGCATATAAACAGTATTTCCTTTTTTTTACACTGGAGTCAGAGGAGGTAAAATTTTATTTTACTTCTTAACTGCAGAGGTGGAAAGAAGTGGACGTTAGTTTCATTGATGAGCTGCTCCTCATGCAGAGGCTCACACTGCTCCACTGTTGCCATCTTCTCAATAAGAAACATCRTTATTGGTTGTCCTAAAAGCCAATATATGATGTCATCATCTAATTTGCACTTTTGGACATTTCCCACWGATTTTTATCCAGGCTGTAGGAGAGATGAGAATAAATGTTATAGAGAAAAAAGGAAGTAAAACACTTTAAATACCGGTATGTTTCAAACTGCAACTTAACCCAAATAAACTATTTTATGACTTTTATGATTTGTTTAAATACATATTATATAAACCAATTTTGTGAGAAAATCAAAACAGACATTATGCCTGTACAACAATGAAATTTGCGCTCTGTGTTTGATCCATCACCTGTGAGACACACAACTGGGCACATGGGGAGCAGACAGAGCTTAATTTGTAAMTCAAACGTTGCAGGAAYGCAAACTGCGGTCTGACACRAGGGTTACCCAAAGTAAACACTGATACTGGAATGCGCACACAACACTTAGGCGCACAAATGTCAAAATACCAAGCCAACTGGTATTTATGTATTAGGCCTACTTTTAAATGCTTTATGTGTAATTTATAAAGTGTATTAAGAGCAAGATCATGTCTTACCTTMTTAGTTATTCATTATATCCCACACTGGGCAAGGTGTGTCTCCTCCTCCTCCTCCCTGCTCCGCACTTTGCTCCGTGTCTCAGTAGCAGTTCTGTGTCCTTTAGCCACCCAGGACCTCRCGTAAGGGATCTGATTGAACTTGGTCAAAGGAGGTCCAACAATACTGATAAAAAGCAGGTCAGAGATGGTGGTRGTGTGCAGAGAAGCTCRCTTTGGGGTGCAAATAAGGTTCATCTGGGAGAATCTCCGTTCACATTCTGCACTTATGAGGATGGTATTCACACATGCATTTCAAGTCCGTTTAACTCCTGACAATCAATTTCACTTTCAAATCCATGTGCTGTTCTATTGCGTTTAGCCTCTTTACATGCCGTGCGAAAGATCCGACTCATAGTGGCTATTTGATCCACCTGAGCACTGACTATGGCTTGATCTAAAGTGTTTTCTTTAGGTTTTTCAAGTATGTTTTTTGCTGCTAAGTGACTCCTGGTCCGAGCATGTTCAAATATATTTTTTACGAAGTGCTCKTTGTTGCTTCGTTATATCAGGGGCGGCTGAAGTTATTAACCATGACACCCATTCCCACTGCCTTGCATGCAGAGCAACCCAAACCTGATTTTTCCATCACAAGCCRTGGATAGTAGTTCTGCTTGGCCTTGAACTGAGCTGCTGTCCATATTGTTGGGCATCCCGAATTTGACGATTCTACGCCCGACTGTTCTCCAGTTAATTCTTGATGTCCTCCAAACGTGAATCTCCTCCAGGCTGCGGCACGTCATCAGACTCTTCATAGCGGCTGGTGGTGAGCGAGTTAGCCTGGTTAGCTTCAAACTCACAAACACCACTCGCACCTGCTCCAGCATTGTCACTATCTTCGATTTTTTGTTGATTAGTTGTAGAAGTTTTTTTGTAAAAAATTAAAGTAAATTGGACTGTCTTTTTGACATATTAGTGCCTTTGGTTACATGAACGTGTCAGCGTTTATTTTACGTTTCATTCACCAGATCCACGAAAAGTTTTCGGAATGCACCCTTTCAAAATAAGAGCATTCACAGATCCTGTTTCGGCAGGATCCAGCTCAAATTAAGCTCTGGCAGATTAGGGAATATGTGTCTTGCACAAGGACACCATGATTTCTGGGCATAGCAGGGAGTCAAACATACATTTTTCCGATCCCAAGACATCCACACAACCACAACACCCCAATTTAATTATGAAAATCACAATTATTATTTTGTTTCCTGTTCTGTTTTTAACTTAAATCTTTTGTAAAACTTGAAATGTTCATGTTTTGAGCACAGCCAGTTGCATGGTTAGTTTGAGATGTGAAAAATGACAACTGTCCTCTGAACGACTGATGGTCATGTCGGTAATCAGGAGAAAATTACCTACTTAACCTTGACACCAATAAGCCCAGAGAACAAAAGGACCTCACACAAACACACTGACTCACACTGAACTAACGCAAATTCACTTTTTTATGTTTTGAAAATGAGGCTTCCTTCTGCAGACGGGGCTGAAAGCTCTTTTCCTTTCTTTGACAATATTTTGCACAGTGTTGAAGTTATTGCTTTCTGTGACTGCAGTCCTCACAGTTTCATCTGCTTTGGAAACAGGCCTAACTTCTGAGGTCACTTGGCAATTTTACTGTACAAATCCTAAACTGGTGCGGGACAGTGGGGGGATTAATGTTGAGATTTTTGGAAAAGGAATAACATCATATCAGGCTGAGAGCTGTAATCAGTCCACATCRTTTCTCATCTTGTCTGCAGCCCTTATTAAAGATCTGACGTGAGCCCGGCTTTGATCCCATGAAGAAATTAGAATCGGTGCTGACTTAATTATTTTCAAGTGTTATTTGTGTGTTGCTGGTTCGGGAGACGAGGCTAAAAAATAAATAAATAAAAACACAGATCCTTGCCTTTTGTTTGTTGGAGGTCAGAGCTTTATTGATTGCCTCGCTGGTTTCCAGATAACAAGGGTTTTTATTTTCTTTTTTCTGCATTTTCTCACTGAGCCTTCATCAGATTTCTGAGCACACCTCATCTTTACATGTGAAACTATTCTCCTGTGTAAGCAAATAATATGCTGGCACAGTAAAAGTCCACACTTGATTCAAACGTGAGGGGCTGGCTGTTATTACAGTCTTTGCTCTGAGCTGTAAGGGAAAAAGATAGCTTGGATTCTATTTCACTCAAATAGCTTTGAAATGTGACATTTTAAACAGTTTATATTAGCATTTTRTATTACTATGTTAATAAAGATAGGCAATGAAAAATATCACTAAACTATGAATGTCTTTCTGTATTTTGATGTTGTTAATCTGAACTTTCTTACCCCCAGTTTTAATATTTTTTGTTAAAATAATGAAGACATTTTTTCCCTATTGTAGAGGTAACCCTGGTAAAAAAAAC